AACATCTGGAACAGGTTGTGCGTTATGTTCAGATGAGAAGATGATCAACTCTGTTTTATCGCCGTTTAGCTTCAGCATGTTGGCATTCATCCAACTTACAATATCTTCAAGACATCTTTCAATACGGTTTATATTCTCTTGAATTGAAATATTAGTCACTGGTTTGAAGGATAGATAGAGTTGTGAGTCATCTGCGAAGAAATGGTTGTTTAGATCATGTTTACGGCAGATTTCTCCAACAGGTTTCGTATACATCACATAGCTCTTGGGTCCCAGGACAGACCCTTGAGGTAGACTGTACTCCATGTGGACTGGCTGTGATAGTTTGTTGTTTATGCATACAGTCTGGTATCGGTCGGTCAGGTATGACGTCATCCATGCGAGTGGCTTGCCTGTAATTCCAAAGTGTCGTTCAAGGCGGCGAAGGAGCGTTTCGTGATCAATTGTATCAAAAGCAGCAGACAAATCAAGCATCACAAGAATAGTCACATTGTTATTATCCAAAGACCGTAGAATGTCATTTTGAACTTTTAACAATGCAGTCTCGGGCGAATGGAACTTGCGATAAGCAGATTGGTTGACCTCGTGTAGATTATTTGTCTTCAAATGGCTCTCAAGTCGCCATGTTTCAGTTATGGCACATATATCAAACTCATTGGAGAGAATAAAGTCACATATGGATAGGGTTTTGTTTTTCACTGAGCGTGTGTTCATTAAACATATTTTTATGTTTGTTTGGCCTTTTACTGTTGTATTGTGTTCAAGATTTACCCGGATTAAGTTTTTCACATTGCACATGCTGAGTGATTTTTCTATACGTCTTCGCTGATTAACTTTTGTTATTTCTTGGGGAAGTAACTGTAAATTGTCAACATTCACACCATTGTTAGTATCCCAGGCTAATCATTATAGAATGGAAACATAGAATATGTTTAAAGTAACCATGATCCGCTTTATCTACACCGGGAAAAGTTACAGCTCAAATAACCTCAATTATTGCCATGTTCACATAAATTAAAAGTAAAGAAATTTTGAATTATAGTTTTATAGTTATATCCAATAGCAAAACATTTTGTTTTGCACATTATAACTGATTTTTTAAGAAATAAGCCTAGTAGTTTACTATCAAAGCTTTTATTCCCATTTCAAAACGATTGTGATTTTATTTATGACAATAATCGAAATCATATTACGTAAATACTTTCAAAGTCCAAATATCCTGAAAGGGAGTATGGATTCTGTATTTCAGAACAGTTCAAAAAGAGCATGTTTTGATAAATCGACTGCCATTGAAATTTAGCATAACAAATAATTAAGTGTTGAAAAGTAAATATTCCTCTCGTAAAAAATCTACAAAATAGTTCCGTCTGAAGTCATTTATTTACGTACATCACAAGTGATGTGTAGATATGTTATCTATTTGTATTCACATGCGAACAACAATATAAGTATATTCTAGTCCATGTGCATTATTTGTATTAGTAGTTTATCAAATCATGGAGACTTTACATGTTTTGAACTTTACAAAGCAATGTTGTTGTGAAACTATGGTAACCTCTCAAAAAATAATCGATAACAGAGAAACGTCGGTCGTCTTAATATAAAACGTCTTGTTAATTTTAAAGCATATTATTTCATGCTGTAATGCACATTTAAGGAAAATGACTTACTTTTTACTGTGTTCGCCTGGGTATTTATTCATTTAATAACTGTAGGAAAGTTCTTTTCTCTGTTATTACCAATGACGCTTAGGGAGGTAGGTAAATGCATACTATACAATCGGAGGTCGGGGTCTGACGTCTAAATAACGTGAAAACGATATAACATATTCCTATGGAAATTCACTTTTCAAAATAACTTTCTATTTTAAATTTATATTTATCATCAGAGCTACTTTATGAAACATTTATAATACTCGTACATGGCATCATCAAATACAGTTTGAATACTGCCGTAACATTACATATTGTTAGCTCGATAAATAAAATTTTGTTAATTCAAGTACTGAAAATTATGTTTTATCAGAACAAAGAACAAATTAGGTAAAGGTTTAAAAATAAATTTAAAAAAAAACACTTTTTTAAACTTTTTTGAATAACTCCTGAAGAATATGCTTATTATTCAACGAAAATATCAATCTAGGTTGACCGCCGCAAACTTTACTTTGAACATCGGCGTTCTCTAAATTTCAGTATTGGAAAACTTTAGGGTGCTCTAAATGAGGTATCAGTACGCATGGGGTGCTCTAAATATGGTATCAGTACACTTTCTCGCGCGTGCCCAGTTTATTATTTTATTTGAAATAAAAAGTGAGCATACTTGAAAAAGAGCAAAACAAAACCGAAAACAGTTAAAAGAACTAATTTTTATATATCAAATTTACAAATCATGTCTATCTTTTTTTTTATTCTTCAAAACTTGAAAATACAGTAAACTCCGCTTATAACGAACTCACTGGGACATTCAAAATCTGTTCCTTATATCCGAAGTTCCTGTAAGCATATAGCGAATTAGTTCCCTTTATCAGGAGTTTTTATAGCGAACAGATTTACATATAACGAACTGATTGTTTACCATCGTCCTCCATTTTTGGAATTTAAATAATTGCTATTCCAGTTTTAGATTTACTCCCTATGTCAATTTCTCATAAAATATAATATTTTGTTTCTAAACTCTGTTCGTTTTCTTTCCATGGTTGAGAATAAACAAGATTTTGAACATCTTCTTTTATAATTAAAGGGGGACTTTTACTTATGAAGATAAAGATTTCTTTTCATTTAAATCAAGCGTACATTGCAGATTGCAAGCATGCGTGATTATGTTGAAAACCGATTATAAATTATTATAATTATTTTACTCGAGCACAACTATTGACGAAAAGAAATAAATAACCGTTTTATCTTGGTGAAAAGAGCTCATGCTAAAAATATCCTAAATAGAAAACTATACAAATTCATTTTAATAGATGTATTGAAGTACATACAACGATAAACGGTACATTCGGTCGAGTTTTAATCCCTGCCAATGAAAACGAAAGTCTATTTACGGATAGCCAATATTTTGGAGTTCGTTATAAAAGTGTCATTTTCTGTACTTTTAACTAGATTGGGACTAAGAAATGAGTTCCTTATAAGCGATAATTCCTTATAACCGTGTTCGCTAAAACCATATTTTTATATTAAATAAAGAAGGGCAAAATTCGGGCCAAAATAAATTGTTCCCTATAACCGGAAGTTCGCTATAACCGTGTTCGCTACAAGTGAAGTTTACTGTACAGTTATTATAAACATGCTGTCCTCCTCCTAACAAATTTTCGGGTTTCAAAGTGGTTTATTGGTTGTTTTTGGATTCGTCATCACTTGGTGAGTTGCGTCATGTAGAAGCGTTTCTGTTGATGGTTTATTCAACATTTCGCTTTTGACCTGTTCCGTTGATTTCCATTCTTGCGGATTTAATTTTTTGGAAATGTCTACCAACATTTCATTACTGGGTTTTTTATAACGTCGGCCACCGTCCACGGATCGATGGCCTGTCCGTTTCATGATTTCTCGTTCGGGTACATCCTTCTGATAAAGACTTGTTGCGCAAGTCTTTTTTCCAGACTGATTCAACACTTTTCAGACCAGCGAGCTAACATATTTCTTTCATAAAACCTTAAAGTTTATACGCCTACAACTTGATTTGGAAAACGCACTTCCCCTGGCTTCTGGAAAGGAATTGGTTTGGTCTCTTATAAAATGCTCCATCTCCAACCGATTTCAAATACTGGTCATAGTAATCCACTACGTTTTGCCGATTGTTGTAATGTTTTATAACTTTAGGTTCAATACGGCGGTGTTTCAGGCCACCGTTATACGTTTTATCGTTCTTTTCTGTATAAACTACAAACTTTTCATTAGGATCTGAACCTCTTTCAAATTGATCAGTTTCCAAATTCCTGTGTTCGTCATATCCCCTTAAACCGAAGAGTTTACAGTTAAAGAAGAAGACAGTGTGCTGTAAAGAAAGAGCGTCTTTATTACCAAATACTCCCTCTTCCCAAATAACTTTTCTTCATCTTCTAAAATGGGCTGAGCTTCCTGTCTTTTGCCGACGACGCCTTCTTTCGTTAGAAATTTTTTTTTGTTTGTTTGGATTTTTACGGCACGTCAACACATAACTGGCCATATCGTGCCGAATGCTATAATAGGCTTAAAATGTTATGTTAAACTTTGTAAATGACAATAAAAATGAGCCAATTAGATCCTAGAATACAAGTTTATCTCTTTCAAATAATCAATGATGTTTTTTGATGGAATTGTATTAAAGAGTTCTTTGAGTGAATTTACACAATAAAATCTATTACGGGCCTGTGAAAAATCATGACATTCAAGAAGAAAATGCTTGACAGTAAAATTTTCATTACAAGCTACACAGAAAGGGGCATTGTCATTCGTGAGGAGATAAGAGTGGGTAATTTTAGTGTGTCCAATTCGGCATCGAAGAAGAACTGTTTGATCATGGCGGTTTGACAGAGATAGAGATGGTGACACATCAAGAGATGGGTTTATATCGTGAAGTTTATTAAAAACGGCATTGTCCCAATTTGCTTTCCATTCAGATGATACGAGTTTATTTATAGCCGGTCTAAAATCACAAGCAGGTAACAATAAGTCAGTTTTTTGAAAATTTAATGATTGTTTAGCTAAAGCATCTACTTTTTCATTTCCTCGTATACCTACATGACTTGGAATCCAATATAAATTAACATATTTTGTTTTTAGTATATCATGAAATCGTAAAAGAAGTTTCTTTACCATGATATTGTCAGATTTTTTTTTATTTTTAATGGATATTAAAACAGAAAGCGAGTCAGAAAATATCACAAATTTATCGTGGGTATGCTGTGCTATGTATGACAATGCTAAATCGATAGCTTTTGCTTCAGCAGTAAAAATTGATGCATTATCTGGTAACCTCATACTAGATGTAAAATTATTTTCAAACACAGCCGCACCTACTTCATCTGTGCATCAAGTACCCTCCTAAACCTTGCATAATCAGGATTTTTCTCGTCCAAAAAGTTCATGCCAGATATTCCACAATCTCGCAGCTTTCTAAGAAGGCCACATACTAAATGGTATAGGGACTCGGGTGGAAAGTAATCGTCAGTCTTCTTCCTGATCTCGACGACAAATCTGAAACAATGACCTTTTTTTTTAATTTTTAGCTTTAAACAATGCCTATGTTTAACAGGAGATACTGACCGAAGAGCAACTTAGTGAATCACACACAATTTTCTAGCGTAAATATGAATATATTTTACGAGTGATTATTGGAAAAGACCACATAACCTACACCGGAGGTAGAGTTAAAGTAAAGTACACTTTATTTCAGTTAGTTTTAAATATTACTTGTACATGAGGCTATATCCTGGAATAGATATCGGGGTCTGATAAGGTTTATTCCCTTTTATTTTTAGTGTAATATATACAAGTTTTAATTCTGAAATATAAATAGGGTTCTAATACAGGAGATTGTCGTACATGATATATCTCTGAATTATACACGAAAGGATTTCCTAGATTATATTTTGAAATAGAGCTAGAAATTAATGTTTCACACTGAGAAAGATTCACGCCTGAAATATATTGTAAGCCCATTGCGTGTTACGGTCCGTGTTCTTTGACCTTTGACCTTGAACCAGCGCGTCAAGATCAGAGTCGGATACGCTTTCTACAAAACGTTCTCTCTTTTCATTAATAAAAGGTTTTTCTTCCTGCTTAAAATCCTGGTCAAAGTCAATCAATTGAAAGTTGCCGAAATAGTTTGGTTGTACATCATTTTCTAAAGTATCCATTTGACTACTTGTCAGCAGGCCTATGTCATTAAAAACACCACTACGCTCAATTTCACTTAATGTCTGTGAAAGTAACAAATCATCCTGTGTAACGTTTTCGCGTTTAAACGTAGTGCTCATTTCAAACAAGTCCAAAGCCTGCGATAAATCAAAATCGTCATCTTAAATGTCTATATTTGTCCCACGACTAGCAAACTGAAAATGACGAGAATTTGGCGCTGAATAAGGTAAACTGCTATAGCTTAGCGCAAACGAATGTGATTGGTTCATTTTTCTTGGGGTTCACTATATCTATTCACTATGGCAGCGAAGTAGCAGAGGCACCGAATGGGTGTATTTCTATGTGTATCTCTTAAATTATCATTTGTTTAAATCATGCGATAATACGAGAGAGCAAAAATCTCAAAGAAGTCGTGATAGTCATGCGATTAAACAGTTACAGAATATTAATTCGGACTGTATCAGCGCATGGGGCGAGAAAAAGGGTCAATCATCGAAATTAATCTCGACGTTCCGTCTCGATTAATATTCTATGACTGACCCTTGTTGTCGCCCCATGCGCTGATACCAGCCGGTAAAGTCCACGTTAATATTCTATTACTAATACTTGTTAGTGTACGATATTTGGACGAAAGAGGAATTAAGGACATTAAAGCATGCATCAGAATCAAAATAGTCTGACAACATATCGGCTTTCTCTTAGACTTTATAACTAATTTATTTCATTTTAAATCAGACAGAACATTACTTACTTTGAAGTTTTATTGAAGTACACTCACATAACTTATTTACATCGATTGTGTTACTCTTTAACGATCGATTTGACAATTTTTTAATCGGCAGTAATCTATGGCTGATCAATATGCAGTTTCAAGGAATTTATAAAATTAAGCCACTTTGAGTCTTAATAGGAACTGGACATTTATTGCAAGTAAAAGATGTACAAAGCATAGGCATAACTCTTTGTTTTTAAATTCTTAATTTTTTTCTATTGTATGTTAACATAAAATATCAAAATAAAAGTAAAATCTGATTTTCTTCTTCATGAATTTCGTACAATACAGTTTATTCATGTTCGATATTTCCGATACACATACGTAAAATCTCGCATTTTCAAAACTTCGAATACCGTTATGCTACTTTGATTGTGTTTGGTCATTTCTTGAAAGAATCTGCTTATCGTAAAAAAAGATATTTACTTTTATGCAAATGTTGAAACAATTTGTAATACTCAGAAAAGCAAATGATTGCATAATTTAATTATTACTTTACATCTGAGATACTGAATAGTAATAGCTTCATTTGTTGCAATAACACACATATTACCATAATACTAACGAGAAAATGTTTATTTCATTTCCTGCAATGTTATCAAATGAACATTCAACTGATCTAAATATTAGACTTGTAAATTCCAAACTATTCTGTATCACCTGCTTAGTGGTTGGATACAATGTCACAAATTATATATTTATTACCTTATTGTATCATAAGAAGTCAACGGAGTCTTAAATTATTTAGTACTGGTGTACGAAAGAATATCATGCAGTGTATGTTGTAAACTGTACATAGGAATAAATTTTCTATGTATTAATCGCGGTATCAGTATAATTTTAGTATTTATATTATAATCGATTTAAAAAAAAACCTTAATTGGTTTTAATAAATAGTTCACATTATTATTATTGAAACTTACTAACTAATTAGCAATGCAAATGTTGTTAAAAATGTTGCATTGTTTCACTGAATAGCTGTCTAGATATTTTATTTCACTAGATATATTATTTCAAAAATCAAGTCCTATCAGTTGATTTGCTTACGTATATTGCTGTAAGTTACAACATTTGTGGTGCAGCAAAACAGGAATAATTTTGTATAAAAACCTATTTGAAAATCTAGTGAAAGCGGAAATGGATACAGCAACAAACGTTTGGAGAAATGGTATATTTATATAGATCTAAATCACCAACGCATTTATCTTTTTTAATGCTTCATCAGAATAAAAGCTTTTTTAATTAAAGTGAAATAGCTCTTATTATATGAAGACAGATCTAGACTCTTATCTTGACGTCAAATAAGAAAACAAAACATTTTCAAAGGATGGACAGAATATATTCTTGGAGCATTCCAAACAACATATCAAATTATTTACAGTTCATAATGCATAATTTTTGACAACAAAATGTACAGTGTAACTTCTGAAAACCGAACACCTGTGGGACTAGCCAAAAAGTTCGGAATTTGGACGTTTCCGGAATTCAGATGAACAAGTAAAATTGAACATCAATTGTTTAAGACATGATGAAAAATATAGGAAGCTTATCTATTCATAAAATGGCAAAATTTTAGGACTTTTTAAAAGTTATATTACATGTACTACATGTACATTGTATATAACCTAAAACTGAATCGCTGATACAAAAGCATAATTTCATGATGTACCAGCTATCAATTAATTGAATATTTTGTTTTTCATCACAAAATACTTCTCATTTTTGTCACACTTTAATCAAGTGTTTGACATGCTTGACAGGTTGTGATTGTAATAGGTGTCAATTTGTTTGTTTGGATTTTACGGCACGTCAACACATAAATGGCCATATCGTGCCGAATGCTATAATAGACTTAAAATATTATGTAAAACTTTGTAAATGATAATAGCCGAATGCTATAATAGGCTTAAAATATTATGTAAAACTTTGTAATTGATAATAAAAAAGAGCCAATTAGATCCTTGAATACAAGCTTATCTCTTTCAAATAATCGATGATGTTTTTTGATGGAATTATGTTAAAGAGTTCTTTGACTGAATTTACATTATAAAATCTATTACGGGCCTGTGAAAAATCATGACATTCCAGAAGAAAATTTGATATAAATGGTTTCTGCTAATTGGAAGATACTGATATTTTGAAGGTTTTACAATGTCAATTATAAATTATTCCGTCAAACCTTTTTAAATTTCCGGATTTTGGAAGTAAATTTGAATAGATATAACCCAATTTTTACCGGAAAATTGTTCGGAATTCAGAAGTTCCGGAATGTAGAGGTATTTATTATATAGAAAACAGAAGGAGAAATTTCGGGACCCTGAAAAATGTTGGGATTTCAGAAGTTTCCGGATTTTAGAAGTTCCGGAATTCAGAAGTTACACTGTACTTACTTGTAACAAATGTTCTTTTACGTTTCTATAACAGTTAATTTAGATTGATATGTAGTAATAATTATTTTAATTTGTAAAAGTAAATCAGCTATCAACAAAAGAAATAAAGGGAATTAATATGGATTTAAGATGTATATCCTTATCACCCACAAATAATGTGAACGATTTATATTCTGGTATTGAGGATGAAAGATATGATAGTGTGCCAAGAGATTTAACCGGGATGTATCTAAATAAGTGTCAACAAACCCTCTAGTTTTTATTCTTTGTTTGAGATTCATAGGAAATCAAACTCGGATCTCTGTTATATTGCTTAAATGGTATTGAATAATAGATACATTGAAAATATCCATCTAAGTGATTAAAATACTTTTTTTCTATCATTCCGAGATGAATTTTGACAGAATGCTGAATGCATGCTGAATGCATTTATAATTCTTTTTTTTTCCAAAATATACATGTATATACAATGGCATATATATCCAGGATTTTTCTTTGTTTAAATCCAGAGTACACATTAAAAAACTAGAACTCCGCGAATCGGATGTGTCGCCTTATGAACAATATAGTTTAGGAGAAATGGCCAGGACGAAATGAAATATGAAAATTAACAAAGGGCAATAGCTCAAAAAATAAGAATGCAGAGCAGCAGTTTCTGTGCACTACACTTCTTATCAATAAGAGTAGTATCTATCATCAAACGAAGTTTCATGTCCATAGCTTTTATACTTTTGGAGAAATAGCCTGGACAAAAATAAAGAATGAAAATTAACAAAGGGCAGTAACTCAAAAAATTATAAGTGCAGAGTACCGGTTCTTGTGCACTGCACTTTTTCTTAATGAGATCTATCACCCTATGAAGTTTCAAGTCCATAGCTTTTATACTTAAGGAGAAATGACCCGGACAAAAATAAAGTATGAAAATTAACAAAGGGCAATAACTCAAACAATAAGAAGTGCATAGTACCTGTTCTTGTGCACTGTACTTCTTCTTAATGAGATCTATCATCCTATGAAGTTTCAAGTCCATTGCTTTTATACATTAGGAGAAATGGCCCGGACAAAAAAATAAAGTATGAAAATTAACAAAGGGCAATTACTCAAAAATTTAGAAGTGCAGAGTATCGGTTCGTGTGCACTGCAGTTCGGGTCATTATAAAAAGCATGCATACCAAGTTTGAAGTCAATCCGACTTATAATGACTGACTTATGCTCCGGACAAGCTTAAGGGGGCGCCGACGCCGACAACGACGCAGACACCGCCGACGCCGACACAGCCGACGCCGCCGACAAAAACTTTGTGACATAAAAACGAATAAAAGAAGTGACAGGAAATTGTCACAATACAATATTTCTATCAAATAAATATTGATATATGAAAAAAGCAAAAGGGCATCATTCTCACAAAACTTATCAAATTACAAAAACTCCCGCGATATGCGTCAGGTCACTTTGAAATCTAGACGATATCAGAAGAAAAATGTTAGAGAAGGTGCATCGAAAGAAATTTTTAATGCCTAGCTTGCCTTCTGATTGCAGATACTCACCAATCTTATTCCCATTTTTCCTTCTACATATTTTTCTCACCATGAAGTTAAGTAAGACACATATATAAAAGGAAGCATATAAAAGTATAAAGTACAAATCTAAAAGATTATTCATAAATAGTGAAGAGATGTATCAAAATTACGGATAGAGTGTTCTAAAACTAGAAAGTAAAGCTATTTATTTAAAAAGTTGATAGGCAATCAAGGAAGTAAGCGGTCACAACCTATTGGATTGTTGTGCATTGCTGGAAAAGGAGTTAAGGGAAGTATAGGTCGCAATAGATTACTCGGCAACATTTAATAATGGAAAAAATGCGCTTATTTTTGCACTCAAAACGTTTACTAAGATTTATACTATGAATTAGTGTTTTATTCAATAGCTGACGTTCCTTTATTCTAATTATACTATA